AGAGACAGCCCTGCAGCGGCGAAAACCGCACGAAACCCAATCCAAATACGTCTGTGTGTGCGGACCAAACTGTGACCACGCCATGTGGTCATGGGCTGCCGTCGTCAGCGCATGCGACGCCCCTCCATATCGAGGACGCAGGTGCATTCTCTGAGACCGCCATCTGTGCCGACGCCACCACTTGGACGAAGACCGAATCACAGCCTTGCGCAGCAGTATCGCAACGTTCTCATGCAACGGCGCGAGTATCGGTGAAGCCCAATACCAACGGTCTGATGTAACTGACACCCCGACTTTTTCTAACATCTGCGCCTCCTGGAATGCTGCCCAAAGCCGCAACTGTTTGGCGCCCCGTCTCCTTCCCCAGCCGGGGGGAGATAGGATGAACATGACCAACAGGTCTTGCTCGAACTCCTCACTGCCCCACCATTGCTGGTGGATCATCTTCTCTGGTCCAAACCTGCCCCTGTGCCTGGCTCTCGACGATGCCGCAATCCCCGTCGGAGGTCGTCGCAATGTCGAGGTCGCCCGGCAACTGCTCTCTCGTTGCCGTTGCGAGGCTCCTGCCGCCCATGCACGCCTGTCCTGAGAATGGCCTTCACGGGGTAAGAATGCATATCCTTGCTGCTGGCGCAATGGAGACACCCTGCGGCAACCCACGATGAGGTAACACTGGGGCGGAATAGTCGCCACCCACACTTTCATAACGAAGACCAGTCCAAGCTGCCAAATTAGTTCACACCACTACCATAGGAGCGCCTGTGGCCAACAAAAAAGCCCCCCCCCCACTGCGTCATTACTGATGTAGTCGTAGGCGAGGGACAGGCCCAACTCCGCACCTGCATCTGCCTGTGCACAGTCGGCAAGCCATTGAAAGATTGCGCGTGCAACACTCACCCCCTGCTTGCCAGTCCATTGAGCATCGCGCATCTGTGGTAGAGCCATCGCCAAAGCACTCCACCAACACCGCATCGCAATATACCAACTGAAATCGGCCTCAAGCCCGATTCATTCTTAGGTATGCCCACCACTGTCCATGGGGGGATCTGCGACATAACTTCTGAAGGTAGGCGCCCTCGGAGCTGCGCGGCACACTGGGAGGTGGCAACCCATGCCTGATGCAGCTCCTCGATGATCACTGGAAAAGCTTTCTTTATGATCTTCAACTCTTTAGCCTCCCAGCCATCGGACCCCGCTGACCCCGACGCCATGTCGACCACCTCCTCGGAAGACTCTAGACTCGGTATCCAGTCGCTCGCATGACTAGACTGCGGGACTTGTGCACGCGGCGCATGGCGCTTCAATTCTGGAGATGCTCTCGAGCCGACTCAGGGCCATTCGATCACCACCGGGCTTCCCAAGTTCCCCGCTTTTCTTTGGGCCCGAAAGACGCAAAAGGTGCCGGTGCTCTGAACAATGGCGTCGTCAATCTATACAGATCCGTACTCGAGGTCGCAAAGCGTGTTTGTTCCACTCCGACGTCTTCTGCTTCGAAATCTTGACATTCTTCACTGTGATACCAGTCGAGGTCATATCAAGCGACGTCGCATAAGTAGGAACACCATCACCACTCTGAGGCAACGAAGAAACGACGATGCAACCGAAGTGGGCGCCGCAACTCGATAGTCTGGTCATAGCGGTGGATGGCCCCCGAGCCCACTGGCCCGAGGGAAGGAAGAGGCCACCCCTTCCTCTCAGGCTGGCGGTCCACCACAACATAATCACGCCCCGCTGTAATCTGAGGTGCTTCTGCAGCTCGTTGGTGCCACAGCCTGAACCTGCTCGCAGCCGCGTCGACCGCCGCCGCCAGGCCATACTGTTGCGGTACGCGTTGGATAACGTCTCGTTGAAGCTCCTCTCGGACGTTCTCTGGCGGCATGCGTTCAAGAACATGCCGCGCCGCGTGATGGAACCGTATTGTCTTACGAGCACACGCAGGCACTTGGATAGAATACCTGGCCAGCCCATAATGTGGAATGCCAGGGGGTAGCCCGATACCTTCTCGCGGCGGCGCGACGCATTCCATGGGCCCGAAGACTCCGCAACGCGTGGGCGTCGCCCCCGCGGCCGCGGTTGGAATGCTCTGCGGAGCACGCTGGAAGCCACGCCCAAATAGAGTTCGGCACATCAACTTCCAGTTGAGGTCTCCAATCAAATAAGCTGGATGGCCATCAATGCCCAGGCTCTGCAGGCATGTCGCCAGTGACGCCATCCATCCAGAGCCAGGCTGCGAAGGCGCAAATTATGGGCACACGGGCGGCGCGCGACGTCCGTGGCCCCACCAGTCTGCGACCAAACAACTCGTCTCTGATCACCGAAGTGCGCCCGAGCCTCGGACGCCAGAAGATTGCAGCGCACCCCTGCGCCACGGAATGCATCCCAGCGCGCGGAAGGAAAATCGAGCAAGCCACGGCCCACCGGCCCACCCAATTTTCTTCGCCTCCTGTGCGATTCACCTCGGCTTCCCATGCATCTGGCGCATCTCCTGCGTGGCAACGACCTCCATCACTTCATCGTTCAACTCATTTGCCAATGCCTGATACGGACGTGCCTCGCTGAGAGATGTAACGTCGATTGGGCAACAACTCTGACGACCCGGATATGCGACGCCCATCAGCGTCTGAGTCCTCCTCCTCCAGGCCTGGCCCCTGTCGAAGTCCATGCGACCCCCCGGGATCTCCACCGCCCAGTAGAGGACCATTTGCAAATTTTCTACAGGAGATTTGAAACATTCAACAGAAACTGCACCAGTATACTTCGTGAAACATTCGACAGAAACTGCATCAGTGCTTGAAGTGAAACTTCGAGGCGGCGGGCCCGAAGCGCCCCCTCGCGCAGGGGCTTCGTCGGGACTCCGTCCAGCTTCGCGCGGCGAGTCCATGCCTGAGGCGTTCCCTCGCGCGGGGCCTTCCTCAAGACTTCGCGTTCTGAACGTGAGACATTCTACAGCAACTGAAACTCGTGGGCCTAGTCGATGCGGTCGCGAACTTCGCAGGGGGGCAACCGCCCTGACGGCCTCCCCAGCACTCTCATCATTGTCTTGCACGCGCGACCGCGCATCATCACCCGAGACATGCTGTTCGCACGCCTGCCTCTCCACGGAACGTTGTAGATCTGCGGCGCGGTCAGTGCAGTCCGCCGGCTTCTGCAAGCGCAGTGTTTGAACTTACTTGACATGAATATCTTCGCCCCCGCTCGAGTTGTGGATCGTCTTCTGGGATTCGCCCTCCTTGGCCGGAACGAGCGCGGCCGCCTGCGCCCGCGGGGGTAGTCGGGCACGCCGGGCCAGCCAAGCCTGCCAGGTCCTTTATCTCACCGCAATCGTCTTCGCCGCCGCCGCTTTGCAACTATGAGCTCGCGCGGCAACTCTGGACTTCCCGAGAGGTGACTCACCGAGGCAATTCCGCCAATGGACACGCGCCTCCCCGACTCTCTTGCAAGCCGTCTCCGCCGATGGTGGCCGACCGCGCGACGCGCGCTTCAAATGCGCGCCTGCTGCGGCGTCCACCGCAACCGCCGCGCGCCCAACTTCTTCTCCATCCTCGTCGGAGCCGAACAGGCTCTTCGCATCCTCCACGGCCTTCCCCCCGGCGCTTGCCGTCCGAGCCGTCTTCGTAATCCTGGGCGCCTCGGCCGGGGGGGCCCCGAAAAGCGACCTTGCCCGCCTGAGTGTTGGCGCGGGCGATTTTGCCGCCTCTGAGCCTGAGGAGCCGACCCCAAACAAGCTGCGCGCATCCTCCTCCGCCATCTTCTTTGAGATTCTCGCTGGAGTAGCTCTCGTTCTTGAAGCCGGCGCAATAGCTGGCAGACTGCGACCTCCACCTGTGAATACATCAGGATAAGGTAGTGCACCCCCCCGCCACTGCTTCTCGATTGTGTCATCGAACTCGGACTTTGGCGCAAGCAACGCGCTGTGCTTGTCCTTCAGCGCGAGCCGCGCCTTCTTGCGAAACCTCTGCGGCGAGGTGTATACAACCCACCTGCCCGTAGTTGCATCATGCGCATTCTACTTCCATATGCGAACGTCCGCTTTCAACCCAAAGGCCGTAGCACGTACGCACATAATATCTGCCAATTGCCCAGCCGCGCCAATCCTTTCAACGCCCGCCTTGGTCGCCCCGTACTTCTTGAGATTCGCCTTGATGTCTGCTGCCGATGAAAATCGTAGTCAACGCTAAACTCTGCCTCCCGGTGCCTTGCCCGCCTCTGGGAGGTCCTCCGGCTTTGCTAAGGTATCATCCAGTCCGGCCCCGCGCGCAATGAAATCACAAGTGCCTCCGCCACCAAGATCGCGTTGCTCCGTGCGCATGTGCCATGGCGCCTGCTGCGGCGCTCTGGGCACTCTTGGTCGCGGTTCACCTCCTCCTGCCGATGGGCGTCGCTGTGACGCAGCAGCTTCTTGGACTGATTGGTCAGCTTCTGGCGGCTTTTCTCTTGGTCGCGTTGGCTGCGCTGGCTGCGCAGGCGCGGGCGACCCCCCCTCATCCTCTGAGGCTTGTCGCCACTGCGGAGCCGCGACTCCCCATGCGCTCTGCGATTTCGCCGCCGTCTTCCTCTGCTCTTTGCTAGCCCCGAAGGCCAGGCTGACAATCGCACAGGAACCGAGCTTATAGGTCCGATCATTGCTGGCTCTCGCCGCCGCAAGATCACCGCGGAAAAAACCATGTGCGCCGCCCCGTCTTCGTCGCTGCCGCAACGCTGAGAAAGTCACGCTGCGCTGCCCGCGCCGATGCCTCCTCAGGCTGGAGCCAGGTGTGGCGGAGCCCTCTGAAGATACCAACGTGGGGGTAGGCCCAGACCCTCAATGGCCCTGTCACGCAAGACCCCCAATGGTGCATCGTGACTGGGTCGATGCAACATCCACCCCTTCACTTGTTCGCGAACTTCAGAAACCCGAGCCCAAAAAACCACCAGTTCCCCACCTTCCCTCTGCTTGAACCACCGCGGCATCATCGAACTCTTTTGGTAGTGGACGAATACCCCCGCTGGCAATTTATAACTCCTGATGGCCTCAGCCCCCGCGTTCGCAATGAGCAGCGTCGTGATCGCCGTATCGTAGTTGATGGCCCCTTTCGTTCTGATCACATCCTTAGCGAATTCAGCCTTCAGAAAAAAAGCGGGTAGTGTTGCTGGTTCCTGCGCAGCTCTGGCAAATATGTCGTCCGCGCAGAAAACTCCGGCACATGCCATGCGTAATGCCGTCGTTGCCGTCGTTACGGGTTCCGTCTCTGGCTTGTCGTTGTACGCCCCATCTGGCAGTCTAGTCCTCCTGGGAGCTTGATCGCCTATGTACAGCATGAGGCATGGTGTCGGCTTCGATCCAGTGTCTGCGCCGGCGAGGACCTCCGACTGCGTGCCCCCCTCCTGGAGCAAGGTACCACAATCACGAACGTAGCCAGCTCTCCACAAGCCGTTGCCAACCATTGTCTTGCCGTCCTGTAACATTGAACTGCGGCGCGCACGGTCACATGCGGCTGCTCATGAGAGCGGCCCAAGAGTAACGGCGCAAAACAAATTGTCGTAGTACCCCACTCCGAAGGTACCAATCTGGGCGTCGCCTTCCTCGATGTAGTATCAGGCCCCACCGCAGGCGAGGCACTCTTAGCAGTATCTAGCAATATCGTGTCCAGCGGCGCCACGCAGCACTCGTAACAATGCCAAAACCTGCTTCTCCGATGGCATGTACGCCGTTTTGCCGATCTCCCCCAGAAGCCGACGTATCTTTTTGAGGATCAATAGTTCCTTGCTCCTCTTCTTCTTGGTGTCGCTCACATGCGCTGGCCCTGGCAACTCCGTAGTGGTAGACGACAGCGCTCCCCCCGACTTTGCTGCAGCACGAAATTGGTTGACTGTCGTCATCATCTGTAGGTATGCACGGCCATGACCTCAACCAGGCGCCGTCGTCCAAGCTGGGCTCTCTGACCTCCTCTGCCTCCGTTGGCTCACCCGCCAAGGGAAGGATCTTCCAACAATTCGGCCTCAAGCGCATGCTCTTCGGCCTTTTACATGATGCAGTCGTAGAAGAAAAACGTCATCATGGCACCAGCATAGCTTCTGATCGGTCAGATCGAAAAGCATGTCGCAGTATTCTGCCCCAACACGAGTACCTGGCCCGTCACCGCCATGACGAAGGTATACTACGTTGGTGATCATTCTCAAGATGGCAAGCTATAGAAAACCAACAACGACATAAACGCAGGAACCGAGTATTCGCCTATGTGAACATCTAGTTGGTTTCTTCCACCTGGTCTGCAACATAACCTTGTAATTACCAAAACGCAGCTCTTGGGTTGGAGGATAGGTCGACAGGAATCACCATCGGATCCTACGACCACTGCGAAGTATACCGCGGGAGCGAAACTCGTGAGGAACACAAAAGACAGAATGAAACGTCCATGCCACACTGTCACCCCCATGCTCCACACAAAATGCACAATTCGCAATTGAGGCGCACCAATCGCCACACCCTGACCCGCCGAAGGGCGCGGCAGAATTCCAGAAGGGAAACAACAATATGAGCCTGCTACCGAGTGCTGTACGAGACGAACAGCCACTACAGGAGAGGGAACACCAACGTGTCCCAGGCTCCAAAGAGAGCCAAGACCACATCATAGTGAAACGAGAATGCACTGCACACATCACGCCTTTCCCAACCTCTCGATCTGCGAGATTCCAGGAAAAATAAAACAATTTCGCAAACAAAAGCAGGAGCAAGTAAAGCTTAGACACTGAATGGGTGCGCGCAAGATCAGCGACTTCTTATTGACGTCCATATCGTACCCCATCCAGACGATACTGAAACTGATTACGCAGAGATCTTCATCCTCTCTTGATTTTCGGCCGCGAGAGGCAATGATCGCCTGCAATATTCTGCCACTCTGTGTTCTGAATCATGGGCGCGCGGCGCATGTCATACTCCTTCGTTGCGCCCTTGGCACCATGTCCCAGAAGCGGTGTGCTTCACCTCGTCATCACGCTGCCCCAATCATCCCTAGTGCCGCTGTCACCCACGCCACAGCCTGTCGAATGCTCCCTCACGTGCCTCCACACTGCGGCGTGCGAACGCGTCTCTGCCGACACCGCAACTCCCTCTGGACACCGCCCTGCCGAAAACTGCTCTTCCCCGCCAACGCAAAGGCATCCGACGTCCCTTCCGCCGAATCGCCCTCACACTGAAGCTCGGCGGCACGCCGAGAGGGCAAGTGAGGGGACAGGCCCTCTCGAAGGCGGCGGGGCTCCCCAGAAGCCCTCTGACCTTCTGAGATGCCGTCCGTGACTTCGGAGTTAGAAAGCTTCTCTGAATGCTACCGGCCGCGTGAGCCCCCCTGGGCGCGCCGCCGACTCACGCTGGGGCATCAGGCATTCGCTCAAGTCGGCCAGGGTCTCCAGCGCCCCCTCGAGTGATGCAGAACGTCGCGGGCACATCTGTCTCTGTGCAAGCTCTAGGCTGACGGGGGCCATCGCCTGGAGCTCTTCTGAAACGAATCATGATCCCAGTCGCGCATGGCCAATCGCAGCTCGGAGAACCGAATCCAGATGGGCGCATTTTTGCTGAGACGAGCTGGCCTGCACCTGAGCCAGAAGGGTTACCTACCGCCGCGCGGCGCTCCCGGGCCGACTTGGGCCCCACTTGAAGCTGTCTTCGGGAAATATCTAGAGCAGGGCTGGGGCGTCAGGTCTGCAGAACACCCCTAACGGACGTCAAGGGGCGCAACCAACCTGTTCGGCCGAGCTGTGATTGACGCACCACAACCGGCGCCAAGCCAAAACTTCGGGCATGAGCGAATGGTTGGATGTCATCCTCGTCGGCTTGACCAGCGAGGCGCTTGACCACCTTGACGTCCCTGTTTTGGTGGTCCTGCAGAGGAAGGCGCTATCTTAGGAGGCAACTACTGGGAGGTTTTCGTCGGAAAAAATAAAGAGGATTAAGCCCCATTGGGGGACTGTTACGCCGGAATGGGCCTGAGACTAAGCAGGATTAAGCCGGATTAAGCGGGATTGAGCGGGATTAAGCCGGATTAAGCGGGATTAAGCCGGATTAAGCCGGTTTTCGGACCAGGGCAAAGTCAGAATTTAACCTCCCAGGAGTTGCATCCGAAGCTATCTGACCCTCGGCCCTGCCCAAGAAATATACCGACGGCCTCGTGCGCCGCACCGGGCGCTCCGACGGCCGAACCGGCGAAGCCTCCGCGCAGGCGAGCCAGCGCGCGGCCCCGCAGTCGGTCCGACGGCCTGGCCCCCCCCTGAAGGAGGGCAGCGCGGGCGGGCCGAGGCCCAGAGGGGGGTCAGGCCGCGGCGTGGGAATGGAACGGAATGGAAATCCGTGTGCCGGCTCCGGTGACCGGAGCGATCCCCTGGAGGGCAGGCCGTGCGCTGAGCATGTCGGAAAACGCAGTCAACAGATCTTCTGGCGTGCAAGCAACGAGCACACGCGGGAGAATGCGGTTAACAAATCCTCTGGCAGGCCGCGGCGTTGGCGAAAGTCATGCCGAATGTGGAGGCCTCCTAGATGGGGTCGGAGTGGTTGGGGTCGGAGGGTCGCGCCGCACCGCCGATACATCGTCGATGTATCGGCGATGTATCGGCGATACATCGGCGATGCACCGGTTATGCATCGTCGACGTCGGCGATGCATCGGCGACGTCGACGTGAAGCAAATCGAGCTCCACATCGAGCCGCATCGGCGATGCATCGGCGTTGCGGCGCGATCTCCCGACCCCATCTACTCCGACCCCATCTAGGAGGCCGAGAGAATTGCAGGAGCGGAAGTTGGATAGATGGGAGCGGGAGTCGGACAGGAGACCCACTCCTAGACATGCATGAAAATCCAGCAAAAGTGCAGAGCGTGTCTGATTGTCCCGACCTGGTCCCTCGGGCGCTGGGTTGGACCAGATCAAGTCCAAAGGGAATGGCAATCTCAGAGATGCTTCCTCAGAAGTACGATCGGAATCGAGATCCGGTGATGCCAATCATATATGATTCAGGCTGTTAAAAATTATCCCAGTGCGACCCTACCTAGGAGTTGGAGCCCCTAGGAAAGCAGCATTAGTAGTAACAGTAAAGCTAAGCTAAAGCTAAGCTAAAGCTAAGCTAAAGCTAAGCTAAAGCTAAGATAAAGCTAAGCTAAGGGTAAGCTAACACTAAGCTAAAGCTAAGCTAAAGCTAAGCTGAAGCTAAGCTAAAGCTAAGCTAAAGCTAAGCTAAAGCTAAGCTGAGGCTAAGCTAAAGCTAAGCTGAAGCTAAACTAACGCTAAGCTAAAGCTAAGCTAAAGCTAAGCTAAATATAAGCTGAAGCTAAGCTAAAGCTCAGCTAAAGCTGAGCTAAAGCTAAGCTAAAGCTAAGCTAAAGCTAAGCTGAATCTAAGCTAAAGCTAAGCTAAAGCTAAGCTAAAGCTAAGTTAAAGCTAAAGCTAAGCTAAAGTTAAGCTAAAGCTAAGCTGCGGCTAAGCTAAAGTTAAGCTGAAGCTAAAGCTAAGCTGAAGCTAAGCTGAAGCTAAGCTAAAGCTAAGCTAAAGCTAAGCTAAAGCTAAGCTAAAGCTAAGCTAAAGCTAAGCTAACACTAAGCTACATCTAAGCTAACACTAAGCTGAAGCTAAGCTAAAGCTAAGCTAAAGCTAAGCTAAAGCTAAGCTAACACTAATATGAATCTAAGCTAAAGCTAAGCTGAAGCTAAGCTAAAGCTAAGCTAAAGCTAAGCTAAAGCTAAGCTAAAGCTAAGCTAAGGCTAAGCTAACACTAAGCCAAAGCTAAGATAAAGCTAAGCTGAAGCTAAGCTAAAGCTAAGCTAAAGCTAAGCTAAAGCTAAGCTAAAGCTAAGCAACATCTAAGCTAAATATAAGCTAACACTAAGCTAAAGCTAAGCTAAAGCTAAGCTAAAGCTAAGCTAACACTAAGCGACAGCTAAGCTAAAGCTAAGCTAAAGCTAAGCTAAAGCTAAGCTAAAGCTAAGCTAAGGCTAAGCTCAAGCTAAAGCTAAGGCTAAAGCTCCCAGGGGACTGGGGGAACCGCGGGGCGGGGACTGGGGGAACCGCCCGGGGCGGTTTCCATTGCCCGGCCCTTTAAGCTAAGAGAGTAAGAACCCTTCTAGGCAGAGCCTAGGTAGGGAAAAACGTCGGCGTTTACGTCCCGAAACAATCAAACAATGCGGTGACGGACCGTGCGGGGACCTCGAGATCCTCCAAGACCTCACCGCGCGATCTGTTACCGTGCGATTTTGGGACCTTAGCGGCCACAGCCGCCCGAGACACCCTCGGAGAATAGCCCAAGTCATAAAAACGGGCGGTCGCACCGAATGCCCACCGACTTTCCACACAGTGTGGTCACCGCACCGTTTTCGAGGGCCACCGAGTCAGATTTTTACCGCAGCGTCGACGGTTTTCGGGTCCTAGCTCGGCTCTCCAGCGGCCATTCGAGACGATCTGGGCACTCCGGGAACGCTGTTGGCGAGGCGCAGCCGCTGGAAGGCATCCTGGTGCTGGAAAGCCGCTGAGGACCGACGAAAACATCCGAAAACCTGGAACCTCGAAGCCCCGTGAGCCTGGCCTTCGATCTTTGGGAAGCGGGGGGGGCGCCTGGCAGCATCCGCGCCGCAACCAGCTCGAAGCCGTCGGCGACGTCCCCGTCGCCGATCCGGAAGGACAGCTCGCCCCGCCCGGACGGCACGTGCGTGGTAGCGGCCTGCTACGGGCAGCGTCGGGGGGGCCGGCGCAGAGAGGGAAACCTCACAGGCCACTTCCCGCGCATCCTGCAGCAGGACATGTGCGTGCAGCTTCCGCGGGGCACCTGCTGACAGGCCGCCGATGTGCCTGGTGTCGCTGCCCACCTGGCTCACCTTCGCCCCCCACCCCACGATCGATGGACTTAGAATCGGAAAATCGGATCAGACCAGATCTGGCATCAAATCGGGCCGCATCGGAGCCTCAGGGCCCTCCCGACACAACCTGTCCAGCGAACTCGCCGCTTTCGTGCGGAAGGCCAAGCTCATCCGACCAGGAGGCGACGGGAGGAGGCTACCGAGCGAGTTCAAGCGGTTCTTCATTGCTTCCTATCCGCCCTGGGTCATCGATGGTCTCGGCCCGACTGCCACAGGCAACTGACTTCTAAGAAACGGGAACAGACGGATGGTCCATGTCCAACTTTTTTCCGGATCCGCACTCAGGCAGGAAGACGCATCGGGGGCGGCCAAGAGGGGGGGGGGGCGTCCAAGAGGGGGGGGGGGGCGCAAATCATGGCCGGCGGCATGTGCGCGGCCCAGGGGAGGGGGCCAGGGATGCAATGAAATAAGAAGAGGCGCCATGACCCCTGCCATGATAACCCCCCCCCTGGTCATCACCCCCTGCCCTCGACGGCAACAGCACGAGTGCACTGGACAAGCACTGTCTGCCTCCATCGAACGCCCTAGGGTCATCGCGATATCACGAGAAGCGTCCAGGTAAAGAAACCGACGGGCGAGCCTCGGCCACGAAGACGTTTCCCGACGTACATTTAGGTCGGGCATGTCCTCCTACAGAGGCGGATTTTGGACGAACTACAAGACTCCGAAAATACTCGCAGTAGTAAAAACTAGTCGCAGCAATCTTCATACATAGTCAGAAGCATGTTTTGACTATTTCTGAAGATTCCCCCTGTAGAGTGACAGGCCCGACATAAACCTACACAAGGGGAGCCACCCGGAGCCCCTGCTGAGCCCGACTGGGTTTCGTGGGACCTAGTTTAGTGAGTGCTCAGCGGCGCGCACAAAAGGGGGGCCGGGGGATGGGGAAAGGCTTCTTTGAGGGGCCACGATAGGGGGGATAGGCACAGGGGGGGGGGGAATCGATGGGGGGGGATAGGGGGGGATAGGCATAGGGGGGGATAGGTATGGGGGGGGGATATGCATAGGGCATGTCCTCCTACAGGCGGATTTGAAAGGAAAAATAAAAAGAAACTAGGAAAATATTCGATAACTGTGAACGAAGATTCGAAAAGTCTTCCCCGTACTGTTTTTGTAAAACTAGTTTTGAAGATTCCTCCTGTAGAGGGACGTGCCCGAAGCAGGGGGATGGGGAGAAGGCTTCGTGGAAGGAAACTGCTTCGTAGCAGGCGCCGGCCTTGACTCTCTAGATGAGGACCGCGCCTTCTAAGAACGAGCCTCCATCTCAGAAGCCTTCCCCCCTCCCCCTGCCCCCGCCTGCGCGTGGCCGATCCTCATCCTCAGCCTCCTGCTGATACTCCTCCTCCTGATCCTCAGCCTCCTCCTCATCTTCCTCCTCCTCATCCTCATCCTCATCATCCTGCTCCATCATCAGCAGCATCATCATCATTCGCATCATTCGCATCATCATCATCATCATCATCATCATCATCATCATCATCATCATCATCATCATCATGATCACCATCACCATCATCATCATCAGCAGCATCAGCATCAGGATCAGCATCAGCATCATCATCATCATCATCAGCAGCAGCAGCAGCATCAGCATCAGCACCATCATCATCATCCTCATCCTCACCCTCATCCTCACCACCTCATCCTCATCCTCATCCTCATCCTCATCATCAGCAGCAGCAGCAGCATCATCATCCAACAACAACAACAGCTGAGGATCATTCCAAGGATGGGACCTTCGTCGTCGAGAGCTGTTGGGATGTGTGCAACGCAATGGCAGTATCGCACTTGGGACCTCCGCCCCTCTTCGAGGCACCCACCCCTCCTCCTCCATCCCCTTCCTCGGCTACGAGGACCATATCAAGGGTAGCATCTGTCCTGCCGTGAGCGTTAACTCCGTGGATGTTTGGGAAGCATTCCCCCCTCCCCCTGCCAACTGCGCGTGGCCGCCTGGCCTCGAGCACCCCCGGGAGGCCCCCCCGCACGGCCTGCCACCGCACGCCGGGCCCTGGAGGCCCCAACGCACAAGCCGCTCGCCAAAGAGGCGCCCGTCCCGCCAAGAGACGGCGCCTCGGGCACTCCCTCTCGCGGGCCACACCCCGTGCACTCCGCAGTGGGGCACGTGTGTGCAGCTTTCGATAATCCTCAGAACGTGTGTAAGCGCCAACGTGTGCTTGTCCATCGAAGCCCTTCAATAGGACGCAGGCAGTGTAACGAGGGTCGACGTAAGCTTTGCGCTCTCGGCGGAGCTGAGCGAGGGAAGACACAAACTGGGCTAGCACGCGTCCTGAGGATCATCGAAGCTTCCGCCGGGCGCCCGCTGGCAGGCCGATCTCTTGTTCGATGTGCCCGGGGTGACTCCCCGCCTGGCTCGCCCCTTGCCCCCACCCCCAGGAACGGCCAGCTTCGAATCGAGAACTCGGACCGGATCGGATGTAGCATCAAATCGGAGCCGGGGGAGACCCTGGATGCCCCAGTGGCCTCGAGTAGGGGAACGAAAAATAACACAAAGATAAAAAACTCGGAGGTCCGCGCGGATTTCCTGGACCCGCGCTGGACCCCATCCCTGGCGCGCGGAGCTCGCCAGGGGCGGCGCCGGAGGCGCCGCCAGGGGGCCCCAGCGCGGATCCGAGAAACCCGCGCGGGTCTCCGAGTTATTATGCTTCTGTCATTATTCGTGCCCCTATCGAAGCACCCTCGGGGAACGGCGCGAGCCCCAAAGCCGCGCGGCCACGCCGAAGCCCCACCGATGAGCATCGTTTAACCGATCCCCATCTCCACCAGCGTGGGCTGAGCCCCACTGGCCGATTTACCTCCCTGATGGGGATATAGGATGCTCTCTTCGGGTTCCGAGGGGCACATCCCCAACTCAGACGGTGACACGGTAAGGCACGAGATGTGGATGGGGATGGGGATTTGGACGCCCGAAATGGGCACGGAAACATTGGGCGTAATGCCGAACAGCAAATGTTGTCCCAAACCAACAGCGGCCGCTATTGGGCAGGCGGCCTTCTGTCCCAAATGGACACAGGCCGCGGCGGCGCGGACACCGAGTCCTGTTCAAAATGAACAGGAACTGCTGTTGAACATTGTACCCATCCTTTCCGTGCCCATCTCGTTCGTGCAGAGGGAATGGGGTTCGGCTAAGAGATACTGAACCGACTCGCCCGACGGTGCCGCCGCCGCGCGCTGTCTCTTGAGACTCTCTTGCGAGCGCCGCAGGGGCGCAGCTCCGTGGGAACCCCCCGGGGGGGGGGGGGTCCCGGCGCCCGCCTCTCGCGAGGCAGCCTGGGAGGGGAAGTTTAGCGGGGGGGGCCAGCTCAGGGGGGATGGGGAAGAGGAGGAGGAGGAGGGAGGAGGAGGAGGAGGAGGAGGAGGAGGAGGAGGAGGAGGAGGAGGAGGAGGAGGAGGAGGAGGAGGAGGAGGTGTGGGGTGAGGCATGGGGCTGGAACCACCGACAGCAAACCTGCACGTTCCCGGGCGGGGTGGGCACGGCGGTGGGCAAATGTTCCACCACCACGACGAGATGTAGGATACGGGGGAAGAGGAGATGAGAATGTCCTCCTCCTCCTCCTCCTCCTCCTCCTCCTCCTCCTCCCCCTCCTCCTCCCACTCCTACATATGGTAGTGGTGGCGGAAAACTGGCCCATAAATCCCCCACCACCTCGCCCCGGGCTTTCGGGTCACAGCTCGGCTCTGCGGCGGCTCCGCGGCAGCTATCCGGGCACCCCTGGAACGCCCTCGACGAGCCGCAACTGGTGCAGAACAGCCCAGAGTCGAAAGGCCGCCGCGAACCGACGAGATCGCACGAACGCCTCGAAGCTCGACTCCGAGAAAGGGCGGAGCGTTGCCCTGGCTCGAGGGAGCTGCCTGGGCGCAGGGGGGGGGCCGCTTGGCGGCCAACTCTTGCGGGCGATGGCGCCTCCACCGTCAGCGTCACCAGGTCGCAGTCACGGGGCGGGTCGTCCCCTCTTCCTGCGAACGTCGGCGGCGCGAGGGGGCAATATTTAGGTCGGGCATATCCCCCTACAAGCCGATTTTGGACGACACATGCAACATACGCAAAAAGTATTCAAAAATAGTCAAAACATAAAAATAATCGTCCCCAAACTATGCTTTATCCCCCACATCCAAAGTAGCGGTCATATTCTCTGGACACCTCGCGCAAGAACCTCACCTCACCTCCCACGCCTCTCCCCTTTCAATCACCATCATAATCATCATCATCATCATCATCATCATCATCATCATCATCATCATCATCATCATCATCATCAGCATCATCATCATCATCATCATCATCATCATCATCATCATCATCATCGTCATCATCATCATCATCACCATCACCATCATCATCATCCCCACTCATCGTCACTACTCATCACCATCCTGATCATCGTCACCATCATCATCATGATCATCACAATCGTTTACACTCACACCATTATCGTCCTCATCATCAACATCCTCATCATTCGATCAATCAGCATCATTATCATCCGCGTCCTCACCAACCTCATCATCATTCGGTCAATCATCATCATCATCACCACTCATCATCACCAGCTTCATCCTCATCCCCACTCGCTCACTCATCACTTCGTCGCCACTCACTCCCTAGCTTGAATATGGGGGACGTCTCAAGCGGGAGCCTCGTGTGTGAGTGAAGTGCGGGGAAATCTCAGGCGGGAACCCCTCTCCCTGTGGGGCCCGCACCTCATCTTTATAATCTGAGCGGGCCATCGGGATCCTGTAACTGTCGTCACTTTTGGGCTCCTGATGTCAACTGGAACCCTTTTCCGTTGATGTTTAATGTCATTGCATGTGTCTCTTAGCACAGTGATTTGCATCAGTATAGCAAGCAGTGCGTTTCATGGTTGTTGAACCGCCGCTGTTTCTTGATCGAGGGGCCCCTGAGTCACACAAAAGGTTGCGTTCTTTATTCCTCGTCACGACGATTACTTACTGAGAGCCCGAGATACTACAGACAGTAGTTCTCTAGAGAGCCAGTGAAGGACTTAAGCAGGGGGCCCGCCCCACCTGCTCCCCCGCTTCCAGTCATGCCGCCGGCGCCGGGCGCCGCGCCGCCAACCTCCACGCCGGCGACGCCGCCGACGAGGAGAACGGGTGCGAGATCCGCACCAGGGGCTGCAGGAGCTGCCCCAGCCGCCGCGGCCGGTTCGCGGGCCCAGGCGGCGGACGGGACACAGATCCCTAGCAGCGTGGACGAGGCCGACTGCGCCGCCACGCTAGGAGAAGAGGACGACAGTTGGAGCCGCTGGAGGAGCGGTGGTTGGTGGACCCACACCGAGAACGGCTGGGACGGGAGAAGAGGCCTGGATGCAGGCCTGAGCAAGACTGCGCCCAGTTTCGAGCTGCTGCGCAGCGAGGGTTATAGGAGTTGTCCGCCGCAAGCTCCGGGTCTTCGAGAGGTGCTGCCGCAAGAGAGGTCTCGACGCCGCCAGCGAAGGCGCCTATTTGATCATGAACTCGTTGCAGGGTGAGGCAGCAGAGGCTACGGAAGACATCGACCTGGACGTCTTGGGGGCGAAAGATGCGTCCCAGCCCATCCTCAAGGTGCTGGGCGAATACTACAAGTACGATAATCAGACCGAGCTGCCGGCCAGAACCGACACCTTCTTCGGCAAGTTCGCGCGACAGGCGAAAGGGACGCTGAAGCTGTATTGCCTACGCCACCAGCGAGAGCTGCGAAAGCTGAAGGAGGTCGGAATGGATATTTCTGATATGTTGACTGGCTGGCACCTCCTCAATCGAGCCGCGATGCCACCGAGCGGAGCCACCCAGGTGCATAGCCAGTGCGGAGAAGGTCTCAGCTGGCTGAAGGTTCGCAAAGTGCTGCTCGATACGTACGGAGCGGAGGCTACGCCTGACAAGCGCGACGTGAGGAGGACCGAGCGGATGCTCGCAGAAAGCAGCGCCACCGCGGACGCGAACTACACGAACGACTACGAGTGGGAGAGAGGTCTCGCTTACGTGGACTCGTGCTGGGTGAGGACGGCTACTTTGTGCAAGACGACTACGACCACGATTGCGAGGATGACGACGGCTACGGGTGCGAGCAGGACGACGCCGACTAGACTGCGGAAATGAAATGTTGGCAAATATAGAAGAAGCGCAGGCTGCCTGCGACGAGGCGTACATCAACTTCATCGAGAGCAAGAGGCGTGTGGCCGACATCGCCAAGTCCCGAGGCTTTCACACGATCGTTGCCCTGGCCCCTGACAACACTTTCACGCGCGAGCGGCGGTCGACGCCCAAGGGCAGCGGCAGAGGCAAGGGCAAAGGACGAGGCAACGGCAAAGGCAAGGGACCGCCACGCTTCCCCCCTGGCGGAGGCCAGGCGTTTCCGCGGTCGCCCACGTCGACGCCGCCGCCTTCGCCGCCGAGGTCGAACGCGTCGGGATCGACTCAGCAGCGCGGTCCTCGGGTCAAGCCGGTTCGAGCTGGAGGCTTCGTGAACAAAGATGAGGAGTCGCACATGGTCGAGGACGTGGGCGGCACTGCGAACACTGAGGATCTCGAACTCGCCAATACCATCGAGGAGGTGAAATTGGTCACGGTCGGCAAGGCCATCAGCGATGAAGGAGCTACCCGACCCGTCATGGGCGATCATAATTGGCGACAGTGGTAGGAGTACCTGCGAGCCAAGCAGCTCATCCATCACGTGAAGTACGAGAACAGCGACCGCAGGTTCAGGTTCGGCGACGGCAAGACGCTAGATTCCAAGCAGGAAATCACGCTCACCGTCTGGCCCTTCGGCGTGAGGAAGGAGATCACGATCCACCTGGTGCCTGGGTGGACACCGCCCCTCATCGCGAGGCCATGCGTGGAGGAGCGGGGACTAGTCCAGGACGATCGCGAGGGCAAGTTTATGCTGAAGGACCACCCCGAGAAAGGCTGAATGACCTCCGAGCGCGACGAGAAGGGGCACGTCACTATCGACCTGTTAGGCTGCGCCGGCAACGCGCCCGGCGACGTCATGAACGTGGGCATCCCGACGGAGGACGAGGGCAGCAACGCCAGCGACGACTCGCCCGATCGCGCTTCGAGCGGTTCTGGGCCTGAGGACGACGCCGCGGACTCGGACATCGGAGACGCCGACGCGCACTACCTGGAGACGTACAAGGCGTTCCTGGCCCCACGCGAGACGGACGAGATCACGGTCATAGACGATTCCGAGGATCCAGAGAACGGCGCCAGGAAGGACCCGAACGGCACGCCGCCGGACGTCTACTTAGACTTGATCCTCGCAGTGGAGAACGCCTAAGACGGGATGCGCTCGCTACTGCAGGGCCATGGTCCAAATGTCGTCTGGGAGGTTTTCGTGGACCTATGCCGGCTCTCCACCGAGTTGCTGAACTGCCCGATGGTCGAGGTGGTACATGCCAAGCAGAGCGAGGGCTGGGACTTTTCGAAGCCGCGCATCATTCGGCAGCTTCTGGAGGCCATCGACAGGGGGAAGCCCGACGAAATCTTCTTCGCCCCGCCGTGTACCAACTGGCGTTCGCGGCAGCACGTGAACGCGCCCCTCTCGGAGGAGCGCAAGGAGGCGATCGCCGAGGCAAGGGGGCGCGAGGAAGCCATCCTCTCCGACGGTATTGATGGTTCACGACATGGGCCGCCCAAGGCTCCCAAACTATTTCCGCGGGGCAAGCTCTTCGTTTGGGGCCATTTTTTCGGCGGCCCTGGTTTTGCAACGGCCGTCGGAAGGAGGAGATGCGGAATAGCTGGCTACTCCGGTGGGCTCTGTGACGCTGGGAACTGAGGACAAAGTAGGGTCTCCCCACTGAGCCTCCACAGGTTCCACTTTTCCCCTTATCAGTGCTTGCGCTGAAGGGGTCCTAGAGGAAATTGAAAAATCTGGCGAAAAAGACCCGCCGATTTTGGTGGCCGGCTGCATTCCCGGGTTCCCGGTTCCGGGTTCCCGGGTTCCTGCTTATTGGTTCCGGGCCGATTTCGGTGGGTTCGGGGCCCCCGGGTTCCCAGTCGATCTCCTGATCGATACCAAGTCATCCAGTGAGAGGAATTTCTCCCCGACGTAATTCAATTTTCCTCGCATCCTCGCAGGGTCTGTCCTGGGCACTTCCCTTCCGCCCACCTTGCGCACGCGCGCCACGCCTGGGTGCGGAGCATACATGTACTACGAAGGAGAGCCTCTTTCGCCGTAGCGATGATGATCGCGAAGCGCCTGTAGCCTCAGCGGGGGCGTTGCTAGGCAAACTGCTTACAAAACGGCGGGGGTCAGGAAAAGGCTGCCGCGAAAAAACAAGAACGCGGCGCACTCATAGCATCGCGTTCCCAAACGGAAGCCAAAAAGGGACAATTCACGACGTCATCGGAATTACTGCGGAGGTCTCAACACCACGGGTGGGGATGCCTACTGACACGCTGAGGACAAAAGTCCTGAAACTTTCGACAGGAGGGGCACCACAATGTCAACTAGCCAAACAAGCAGAAGTCCAGGCCGCATTCCCTCGCAGGCTCTGTACCCGCACTGGCCGGAGACATCGCCTTGCAATAATCCCAAATGCGAAGTTCCCCGCGGTCAGAAGTCCAAATGGAGCTCTCCGAGGTTGATGACCGCGACGTACAAATAAGAACACCGACGCAGATATCACATCGCGTATGAGTCCACAAAACTTAAACTAACACTCGCGGACGACGTGCTCGCAAAGGTCGGGGATTCGGCCGTGCGGCAGCCGCCAATCTTGAAGGCCGGCCCAGCGTAATAATTCCAGCATAAGCTTTCCGAGGTTGATCTGCAAGCTGCTCCAGCGGGTGCTCAGTACTCAACACCTCAATTTCTTTGTCGGGATCTCCATGCCGAGACGTGCGTGGAAGAGGACGGCCACTACACATGACCAGGGCCATTTGCAGTCCTGGCTCTCAAAGATTGTGCGTGCCCCTACAAGGATGACGCTCGAGTCGAGAGACCCACTGGCACCTCAAGCGCTCTGCCTGCGGCGCCCACGCAGAGCACGATAGAGACCCGGTGCATGCCAACCATTTTCGTTGACGTGTGTGCACCATTACCGCACTGAACGGAATCCAGACGCACCCGGGGAGCCCGAAGATAAATGAAAGGGAAGACCAGGGTGACTTA